TATATGTGGATCAGATTGAATAGGAAATCTTACTGACAAACAGTTTTTGGTATTTATTTGAGAGTTAATTGTTATTTCTTTTTTTATTTAAGAGATTTGTTTACTTATACATTTTGATTAATTAGAAAACATTATTTCTTGATGCATTTAAAAAACAAAAAGGATTTTTAAACAACAATAACAGATATACTCAGGGTGTAATTATAAAGTGATGTATACAATTTAAAAAATGTATTTAAAATATATTTCTTTGATATATTTCTATCTATATTATATATATTTATATTTATATTTATATATTTACATATTTACATTTACATTTATTTTTGTTTTCAAAATTCATATATCCATTCATATTCATGTCACCAATTTATTTATTTATAGGAAAATGTCAGATATATATACAGTATTATAACAAAAAACCAAGCCTATGTATTAAAAATATTCAATAAAGAAAGACTATATTAATTTTTTATTTATTATAAACATTTTATTTTTATCAATTTGAAACTAAATTTCCTTCCCTCCGATACTAATATTTGTTTTTCAAATTTGCGTAATGATCTTTGAGCCAATAAAATTTAATTTTTGCATGATATCTGGAAGGGAGATCGTCACAAAATTTAGCCAATGAAATCAAATGTCCACTATGCTGATTTCCTGATAACAATAATTTTTTTGTCCATGATAAATAATCCGCGAAAATACCAAGTAGTAGTAGGTTACTTTAAAAAAACCGAAATTTTTGTGAAACATCTTTGCACACTACAAAAAACTTTTTAGCTTCCAAAAGTAATAATGTGGAAAAACAACAACAGAGCTTCTACTTCTTTAATCATTGTATTTTTTATCCTAACCTTTTCACTTATAAGATCAAGCTCAGCTTTATATTTCTATCTTGAAGGAAATGATCCGAAATGTTTTAATGAAGAATTGCCAAAAGACACACTTGTTGTAGGTTTGTTTAATTTATTTTGGACAGATGAGATAATGATTTTTTTTATTGTCATTTTTATATATATTAATTTTCCTTTTAATTTTGTTAAAAGGCACTTATAAGGCAGAAGAATGGTCTGATGCACAGCAACAATATATTGAAAATACACAGCTTGGAATTCAAATAATTGTAGAGGTATTTATATATAATATGAACATTTATATTTAAGTATTTATTTATTCTTGTTTATTGAAAGGATGTGATAATTAATAAAATTTTTTAACAAAATTCAGGAATTACCTCATAATCATCGTATTGTAAATCAAAGAGGTGCAAATAGAGGCCGATTCACCTTTACCACAGCAGAATCAGGTGATCATGCCATATGTTTACAAACCAATTCAAGTAATTGGTTCTCTTCTTTACAAACGGTTTGTTAGAATTTCTTTACAAATTTTTATTTAGTTGAAAGAGGAGAAAAAAGCGTGAAAAACTTATTTTTTTGATTTTTCTTTTTTAAAAGAAATTACATTTAGATATGGTATTTGGTGACTCAATTAGCGATGAAAGTGATCAAGAACATTTTAGTGGTAAATAAATATAATTATTTGTAGCAAATTAAATATGTGCCTTGTAATAATTTGAATATCGTTATGATTATTATTATATAGATCTTGCACAAAGAGTCCATGATTTAAATAATCGTGTTGCAGATATTAGAAGAGAACAAAGTTATCAACGTGTAAGTATTATTTTTTTAAAAAAATGCATTTATCATTTGACCTTAATAATAAATGTATAAATATATTTTTAGGAGCGTGAAGCAGAATTTAGAGATCAATCTGAACTTACAAATTCACGTGTATTATATTGGACAATGATTCAATTAATTATTCTTGGAATGGCATGTTTATGGCAAATGACACATTTGAAGAATTTCTTTGAAGCAAAGAAACTTGTTTAAACAAAAAAATTATATAAATTATAGACAAAAAAAAATGGAAATAAATTTTTTTCTTATATTTGGTAGAATAAAATAATAATAATCATGTAATAAATAAACAAATTAATTAATAATTACAACAATATTCATATTATCTTAGATATTTATTATTTATTAAATTTAAATTTATATCGAATTTGTATCATTAAGAGAAAAAATAAAATATTTATTTATAAATTTATTGAAAGTTCAATTACTGTATTAACACTATGAAAAAATATATAATTCATCATAAGCTCTTTCAAAATTTCTTTCATACCCAAAATTTCTTGATACATTCTAATTTTCCAATCATCACAGTTTGTTTTATTAAATGACCATTCAAATGCTTCATCAGCAACAGGCTTGTCTGGTTCATCATGATATTGTTCTAAATATTTATTAGTTAAAACTTGTTCAGCAGTGATAGATCAAAAATAAACATCAAGTCATAATCCATCTTCCCAATAATGTTGCAGGTCAAGTAAATACAACCCATTGCTTATTTCACGAAAAAAGAATTCTCATTTGTGTTCAGGATATATAAAAGTCTTAGATGCCATTGCATTGGATAGCTCTAGGGTCTAGACTGTTCTCCTTTTCGGTTTTCGGTGGATTTAGATGATCCTTACATGATTTAATAAATTAATAGAAAATTTACGAACAAAATAAAATAAAAAATTACCATCAAACTCGATATTAATTCCCTCAACAACAAATCGATGATGGATTTGATGACTTGATGCAAATATGAATGTTCGTTGATGTTAGAGGAACGTTTCACATATTCAGGTAATTTCCAGATAAGTTCCATTTGAGTCAAGAAAATTACAAAAACTTTTAGACTCTTCTTTAACATTAGTGCCTGTGTTCAATGTAATCGGTTATGAAATTTTTCTTCAATCATCAATTCCACATAATATTGATCCAACATATCTCCTCTTAATTCATGTATACATCACTGCTTCGTAATAAGGTCATATAAATCTTTTATGGTAATATTTTAAGTAAGCTTTGTCAACGATACCATTATGCAATAGATTCTGTGGATCTAGCCATGATACCAGCCAGTCCAATGATCCATTTGTAACCATATTTAGTATTTTATTAATGGAAATTGACAATTGGCCTCAATAGACCCAGTCTATTGTCAACCATGGATCCAATTCTTCCTTTTTTATGTTGCCATGTATGATTCTCAAGACCTTTGATATTTTGCGGATACAGTATTTGTTATGAATAAAATAAAGAACTTATTAATTTTATTTATTATTAAATATTAACAAACATTAATATAATTTACATTTTTTATTTTGTTTTTGTTTCATAACTGTTGAACTCCATAGGGAGCAAATCTTCAGGTTCTTCATTTATGGATCATCAATATTTACAAATTCATCTTTGCCAACATCGTTGCCTAAATGTCAAAGATTGGTTTTCATGTTTGCTAAATATTTGAGGAAAAGAGGATGTAAATGACAATAATATATTAGAAATAACAATAAATTATCATTATAATTTTATACATTAACATTGTGTATCTTCTATCACAAACAGAAGTGATTGTTCCAGTCCTTGCATCAGTTTTATATTTTGTAGTATCAAACTAAAATTGATGTGTGGATCACATAAATGATTTTTTGTAAAAAGTTTTATTGCACAAACCTTTGCCACCCATTAGTTATTTATATAAAAGGTATTAAAGTAAATTAAAATATATTATAATTCAAATATACATCGTTTATTAATATATTTACTAATAGTATTAATGTCTTTAACTTTTGCTTCAACTATTTTTACAAAAAAAATGAAAAAAAATTCTTTTAATAATTAGGAATTAAAAATACTAATCAAATGATGTTTATTTCTGTTTTACTACTTAATTTTCTTACCAGTATGAACTTCGATTTGTTTATATATTATTAAAATTTCCAAAATAATTTAATTGCTGAAATTGATACTTTCCATTAAGAAATAAAATAGTAGTAATAGTAATAGAATAACTTATTCGAATTTTCCTTCCTTATTATAAGAAAGCAACACAAACACTCATATTAGAAAAAATGCCTTTCCTTTCTTTGTAAGCCTATGCGAATGAAAAAAAATCCTTATTATTATGCTGCTAAAATACAATTTAAGTATATCTTGACCATTTTAGGAAGATAAAATTGCAAGTAGAAAATAAGTATGATTTTCTATTTAAACTATACTTAAATTACTCTTGATGAGGAATTAGGGATTATATATATAACAGTGCTTTTATGATTTATTTTTTCATGATAATTCGAATAACAGCAGCTGTAAAGCAATTTATACTCCAAGCGTGCAATTATCTTTGTCTGCGTAGTTGCTTCCTTTCATTAGAGTGCAATTTCGCTGTACGAGAAGAATCTTCGTACGTACGACTGACTTCGTACCATTGAGTTCGTACACCTGTACGAGAAGAATCTTCGTACGTACGTACGTACGTACGAATGTACGAATGTACGATGTATCAGGAACGATGATTTTCTGCGGTGGCAAAATATTACTTTGTA